TACATAAAATATGCCTATTCTTGAGATTTAACCTCAGTATACAACTGATTCACACATCAGATATACAGTAGACAGTGCCTCTGCATCATTTGAACTCAACAAGATAAAATGTTGAAGCTGCCCTTTTTGAAAGAGAAGGATTTCCTGTGAGAAAAAGGATATTTCAGATTTCTAAATTTGAAGCTTATTTTAGCGGTTTTTTCGCAAATTTATTAAAAAGTTATAAACACGTACCTTGTATAACAGATCTTTTTTTACATAGCCTTACGTGCCCTGATGTCATCTATCTAACGGTGAAAATCCTAGGTCTCTATCATTTTCCTTTCAAAAGTTATAAGAATTCTGCCCGAGCGACTTATTTTCAGAAATGGATAATAGTTCTAATGTTGCATACTTTATTTCAAATAGTTTTCTTTGGTCTACATAAAGATTGTACATTGATCAAATTTTTATTTCGTTGACAAATCCAAGCACTGCAAGCAATTGATTAGGTATAAGACTTCGAAATGAGCCATCCGACTCAATAAGATTTTTCTTCTAGACTGGGCTATCGATTTTCATTCTATTTTTTCGTCAAAATATCTTACACAATTTTGGCATCTTGCAGCTGATAACAATCAGAAATCTTTATTATGCGGACGTTTTGTAAGTTGCATTTAGCTAATAAACAAAAGCAAAGAATTTATTAAGCTCACTGACATTACTCATTCTCACCTAAGATCAAGTGTACTATTAACTACATATAATGTAGCATAACTGTTACTGAAGTGAAATAGTGTAAATAAAAAATAGCAATCGATTTGATTCATGGAAATTAATCAACGGGGCATTTTACTCACGAAAATTTATGCTAATAAATGATAGTTTTCAAGAATTTTGAGTATCCACAAACACATCTTGCTTTTTTACTTCAATACATAATTCGACTTATCTCTCATGCTGTTTTTTCGAGTATATTAATGAAGTTCTATCGTGTAGAAATCCTTTTTGTAAAAGAAATTACTGTTAATAAAATCATTCTGAATCGGACCAGGTCATCAAAACGTGGTCTCATTTTCAGGCTTATTCGGTATGTATTAGAGATGAATATTGGAGTGATTTTATTTTTCTTTACAATCACAAGGGAAAGACAAACTGCAAGCAAAACTGATATTTTCGACTTTACATGAAAAATTTCGAAACTTTAATACTAAATATTACGATTGTTTTTTTCTGTTTTGAATAAAAATGAAATCTTACTTTTCAAAAATTTTTGCAATATATGGTAAATGCATTTCTAATGAATGTTCATCAGAATCTTGTTGTTTATTCATAAGAGAAAAAAGACCTGTTTTATAAAGTTCATTTGATACTTGTGTATCAATTTTAATATTATACAATGGTGTTTCATAATGTGTATGATTAGTTAATGCACATGTATTTAAACTATAATGATGTGATGGACCAAGAAGAAACACACGATCAATATCTGTTGGATCAATATATTTATATGCATATGCAGCTGTTGGTCCACTATAACTATATCCAGCATGAGGAGCAATAATAGCTCGAGCTTTTAATCGATTATTCGCACTATTATTCGCTTCTGTAAGCCATGTTGATAATTGTTGATCAAGATAATTTCCATCAGATTCATACCAACTTCCAGCATGCGATGCTTCACGAGTGGAAGTCATTGACATCTGAAAAGTAAATATTTCATTTGATTAATATTTTGAAAATTTTTATTGTTGAAAAAAAAGAAAGAATACATAGAAAATCACATTTTATTTGTTTGTGAAAAAATCGATAGATTACTTATAAATTCATCTAATTTTTCAATAAATATTTCTTGATCGTTATTTATTATATCTAACGCTGAACAACGAGGATTTTTTACAATATAATTGACGAATATCTATTAAAAGAATAAATGAAATTTTTTTTCATTCATTTCATATTAACTATACTTACTGTACTATATAATTGATGTAAAATATCGCGAATATTGCCAACATTATTATCTGTATTTAATATAAATTTTAATCCTGTTGGTGTTTCATAATAATTAAGTTTATAACAATTTGTTTTAAAACTTAAAAAACCATCTTTTCTATACAAACAAAATAAAGAGTTTATTTGTTTAGAAAGGAAAAACAAATAAATATACGTTACAAGTCTGTAGGTGTTAGACGTTGTACAAAAGATTTCACTGAATATAAAAAACCATTCATTAACTTAAATTCCTAATAAAAACAACAAAATATATTTTTTATTTTCTTCATCAAAAACTTTATTGATGGTTAATTCACAAATAGAATTACTTTCCATTCAATTAAGACCTTTCCTAACTCAAAAAAAATCGATTTTCCTAAAAACAACACCTACATAAGCAGGACACCTACGAGGTATAGTTTGAAAGTTCATAAGAATGACTTTCAATGTTAAAAGACTTTTTCAGAAATCATGATGAATCTCTAGAGTGTCGCAGCGAAAACGCTAATACCATGCCCATAGGAAAATTATAAGATTCATTGCATTTTCGGCCGTAGCACATAACTAGAAACCCATTCAATAAGATTCTAGATGAATTTTTAATTGATAAGCAGTATAACTATATTTGATGTTCATATCAGAAAATTCTTCATGTAAATATACAAAAAAGCTCTTGATATTATTTTTTTTTTAATAAATTGTGGAATTCCGAACAAATTTCTTTTCGATTGTGTTCATTCTAGTGAATTGTGGTTTCCTTTATTCGATAGATGATAGATGCATTCTCTTTTGAATGAACGAAAAAGATTTCGTATTCGACTTTCAATATCAAAGCAATCATGGGTTTTCTAGAAAATATAACCTAAAATTTTTGGATTTGTAAGGTTTTAAGAGCACCAAAAAATGTAAGGAGTAGTTTTTGAAATGAGCGTAGACCGAATGCTGTAGTCTGAATTCTATTGGCCGTCAAAATTTCTTTAAAGTAAATTTTCATTAGTCGAACATCTTCAGAAAGTTTCATAGAAATCTCTCTATGATATTACAGATTTCTATTCTTTTACAATTGAACATATGAAGACTAGCATACTAATTAAAATTAATTAATACAGGGTGGCCCAAAAGTCATGTTATCCAAAAAAAATTAAATATCTTCCTTACGGCTCGAGCAAAGAAGCTGATTTTTTTATCAATGATAGAGGCATCCTCAGACTTTATATCTATAAGAACAAGGTCAGGAAGAACCCATATTAAGTAGCACTAATGAACTCAACAAAGAAAATTTCACTTTTTCACAGATAGGAAAAACAAGGTCCAGGGTAGGAAAATACAAGGTTCTTAGAAAA